CACCCAGCTATACAAAAGAAGTATTAACAGACAAGAAGCTGGGCATGGTGGCGCACGCTTGTAATCCCAGCACTTGGGAGGCTGAGGCAGGAGGATCGCTGTGAGTTCGAGACCAGCCTGGGCTACATGGAGAGTTCCAGGTCAGTCTCAACTACATAGTGAGATCCTGTCTCAAAAACAAACTAAAAAAAAAAAAAAAAATCCAGACAAGAAAACTCAAAAGCATTAATACAGTTGTACCAAAGCGACCACAAACACTAACACAGTTGTACTGGGGGAGGGACCTCACTACCCCATTGTCACAAATAGATAAATCAACTAGACAAAAAAAATCAGCAGTGAAATATTAGAATTGAACCAAAGTTTTGAACACATAGACTTAGTAGATGTCTTCAGACTGTTCCACTTCACAACATAAGAATACACATTCTTCTCCACTGCACATGGGACTTTCTCCAAAACAGACCATAGACTAGCTCAAAGAACATGCCTAAGTAAATGCAGAGGAATTAAAGTAATCCCATGCATATTATCAGGCTATAGTGCAATGAATTTGGAAATCAGTAGCAAAAGAAACCACAAGAACTCCATAAACCCATGGAAATTAAATAACACCCTTCTGAACAATCAATGGGACACAGATGAAATTAAAGAAGAAATCAGACAATTTCTGCAATTAGTAATGACAATACAACATACTGGAACTTACAGGATGCAGTGAAAGCAGTCGTATGAGAGAAATTTATAGTGGTGAATTCCCATATCAGGAAAACAGTGGGCTCGAATAAACAACCTAATGTTGAACCTCAAGCTTCTAGGAAAAAAAGAGTAAATTAAGCCCAAAGCTTATATGAGGAAGGGAGTTATAAAGGCAGAGCAGAAGTTAATGCAATGGAGACTTAAGAAAACAATACAAAGAATCAATGAATCCAAGAGTAGGCTCTTTGAAAGATTAAATAAAATTGGTAAACCCTTAGCCAACCTTATCAAAAAAAGGAAGGAAAAGACTCAAATCCATGCAATTAGGAATGAAAAGGGTAAAATCACAACAGATCCTGCAGAGATGCAGATCATCAGCACCTACTTCAAGAACCTGTATCCTAATAAGATGGAAAATGCAGAAGAAATGGACAGATTCCTAGATGCATATGAATTACCAAAACTGAATCAAGAAGATAAATTATAAGTCAGTATCAGCCAACTAAATTAAAGATATAATTTTAAAACTACCAACAAAGAAAAGCCCTGGCCCAGATGGATTCACTGCTGAATTGTACAAGAATCTTTTTTATTTTATATATATATTTTTTTGTACCAGGGATTGAACTTGGGCCATTGTGCTTACAACGCAGGCTGAATCACTGAACTAAATCCCTGGCCCTGTACAAGAAATTTAGAGAAGACCTAATGCCACTACTCCTCAAACTTTAAAGAAATTGAAAGGGGGGTTGGGGATTTAGCTCAGTGGTTCTGCTGCCTGCCTCACAAGTGCAAGATCCTGAGTTCAATCCCTGGTTTCAAAAGAAAAAAAAATTTTTTTTTTTTTTTGGAAGGGAAGCAATTCTCCCAAACTCACTCCTGGAAGCAAGCATTACCCTTGATTCCCAAGCCAGAGAAGGAGTCAATCAAAAAGGAGAATTACAGGGCCAGGGATTTGGCTCAGCGCTGCCTGCCTTGCAAGAGCAAGGGCGTAAGTTCAATCTCCCTAATGAACACAGATGCAGAAATCCCCAGTAACATGCTGGCAAACAGAATGTGGCAAATCATCAGGAAGGTTATACATCATGACCAAGTAGGATTCATCCCAGGGATGCAGGGATGGTCCAACATATGCAATTCGATACTTGTAATACACTACACTAACAGAGCCAATGACCAAAACTATATGATCCTCTCAACAGATGCAGAAAAAAATGGTTAACAAGGTCCAACACCTATTCATGACATACACACTAAAACTACTTTATCTCAATTTGATGAAAGCCATCTATGACAAACCAACAGCCAGCATCTCACTAGATGGACAAAAACTGAAAGCTCTATATGAACTGAGAGTACCAGGCTCTGCTTCTGTTTTTCAAGTTCAAAGCCCTAATGGTTTAGAGATACCGGAGAGCAAAGCAGCTTGAAGACACAGCCAGAGGGCATGTGATTGCTCCTTCTTGCATGCCACATGGATGAATTGCTAGATTAGGAGGTGTCATTTGCTTGTACACACAAACAGCAGAGGATGTCTGAGAATCTTCTGTGTGTTTGTGCATATCTCAGGGAGTGCCTTTCTGTGGGAACCACGGCAGGGCGACAGGTGGGCTGGTTCCATTCTGAGGAACATGTGGCTAGGGGGAGGCTTGTCCCTGGCCTTGTTGACGGCACATCCTTTCATTTGTGGGTCACCGTGCCAGTTGACGAGATTTGTCAGGTAGAATAGATCAAGAATGAGCCTCAGCTTCCCGTGGATCCACTCTTACCTGCCTTCTTTTGAGGAGTACAGACAGCCCAGAGCAGCAGGGACTGGGAGGCTGAGCCGAAATATGCCTGAGGAGCCTCAGCTGTGCCCTCAGGAGGAGATGGGCCACACTTCTCACGTCCACCCTTGGAAACTTTGTCCTTGACTGTGCAGTGGGAAGAGACCGTGTGGGTGGCGTAGGACGGATGCACCAACGGTGGTGGAGTAGCTAATGAATACTGGGAAAACTGGGTGTGGCTCGTTTCTCAAAATGACTTTCCACACATTGTTAACCCGAGCATAGTTCACAAAAGATAGGGTGTACTAGGGTGAACAGATGACTAACACAGAGGTGACTGTGATGTGTTAACTGGGTTTCTGGGAACTAAATGCTGGGGTGTTTAATATAAGGGTTATGTGTAACCCTCGTGGATATCTTTCATGTGGAATTTGGACAGGAATTTAACTTTTGAGATTTGAATTAAACTGAAGAGCCCTTATGTTCTCATTCAAAAAGTATTTATTGAGATCTTTAGAAACGTTTGTAAGACGTCATCCCCTTAACTCCTGGGTTTATATAAAGCAGAGTGCACCTTCTTACGTACAGAAGCTGCACTTGTGATAATCCCAACAGAATACCTCACAGGGTAGGAATTGGAAGCAGGTTCGCCTGAGAGTCAGAAATCCCACTGCACCTGGGGAAGGGAGGAGGGGGCTGCGTTTCAGTCCCGGTTCTACTCGTGGTTTTGTGCTGCCCTGGGTGGGAGCCCACATCTCTGGCTCCCTGTGCTGATGTGTAACATGGAGGTGATAATTTGTCACCTGCCGGGCTCTGCCGTGGCTGAGGGCCTGCCTGGCACCCAGAGCATTCACAGGATCCGAGTCAGTGGTACAGTGTGGTCTCCATCTCATCCTCAGAAAACTTCTGTCCCTACACCCTTGCCCAGATTCCCGGGGCCTTATGGGACCCTTGGGTCCTGGCTTCTCTGTATTGCATCCAGGACTGTATATCTGTGGTGGAATTGGTCACTGGATTAGAGGATTGGAAACAGGCAGCAGCCCCGAATCACACGACCCAAGCAAAAGGAGAGAAAAATCAGATGGGATGGGTCCCTAAAAGGATAGTACATCTGTTTACCAAGTTTTGAAAATTAATAGTAGAAGCTGGACATAATGGTGTACACCTATAATCCCAGCTACTCAGGAGGCTGAGAGGAAAATCGTAAATTCAAAGTCAACCTGAGCAACTTACTAAGACCCTGCCTCAAAACTTTTAAAAATAAAAAGGGATGGAGATGTAGCTCAGTGTAACACTCGCCTAGCATGTGCCAGGCCTTAGGCTGAACCTTGATACCCTTAGGAGGAAAAAAAAAAAAAAAAACCCCGGGCTGGGATGTAGTTAGTGGCAGGGCACTTGCCTGGATTCTATCTGCAGGACCACAAAAAGAAGTCTTTTCTTCTTATCTGTTTAGTTTGTTTGGTGGGATGGGGTGTGGAGAGGTGATCAATCTATCACTCTAAGGAAGCAGAAGGAAACGTGGGGTCCTGGAGAGCCCCGGCTTTAAAGGTGGTTTCCAGCTGCATTTCACAGACCCACTTCCGAGGGCGGCCCGAGGGTCGTGGAGGGTCAGTGCCCTGCTCCACGGAGTCTCAGAGGGCGCACGGAGCACCTGGGTGGGCGACCAGGTGGCAGAGGCTCGTGTTCCTGTGCAGGTGCCTGTGTTTTCCCCACAGCCACAGACCACACTGGTATCCAGTTATGGGTGTTTAATTGTAATGTCACCTCGCTGGGGAAGGCAGCTCTGCACTCACCCTTACCCTTCTGTGCGATTGTGTTCTTCACTTCTCGTTTAAAGTGGCCTCCAAGACTTATTTGCAGCCCAAGATCACAAAAGTTCTCCCTGGAAAGCCACCACACGCAATACCCCAGAGGTTCTCCGAGGCCTTACCAGGCTGGGACTTGCCTCACATACATACTGTATTTGGGTTTTATTTTCGCCTTCGTGCATCTCCCCTACTTGCCAGAGTGCCTGTCAGTGGGGCCACAGCAGTGGGGGCCCTGCATAGTGGGCCCTTCCCTAGAGCCCACCGCTGTTCCCACATGTGAGAAAATAAGCCGGCTTTTCTTAGTCTGGTGGCTACTCCTGTCAGCCACTGAGCCAGCCACACCAGATCTAGGCAGCCTGGCCCTTCAAGGGTCCTCCCTCATGACCAGAGAAACTCAAGGCTGTGGACGTACCCCGAGAAACCACAGCTGGTGAGTCGATGGATCGGGAATAGTGCATGTTGGGCTTCATGTGGTTCTACTTTGCTTAAGGTACTGAGGATTAACTCCAAAGGGTGCTGAGCTATATGTATTATTGTATTATTTTTTAATGCTCTCTTTTGAGACAAGGTGTCAGTAAGTTGCCCAGGCTGGTCTTAAACTTGCCACCCTCCTGCCTGAGCCTCCCAAGTATCTGACGTCACAGGAGTGCACTGTTAAGCCCCCAGCTTCATGTTTTAATTACTATTTTAGATGTTTCATTACTCTTGGTTACTTCCCTCTAAACAGACAGCTACGGACAGTTCTTCTAATTCCTCTCAGAAGAGGGAACAACCTACTCGGACAATCTCCTCTCCCACATCCTGTGAGCATCGGAGGATTTATACCCTCGACCCATACCCCACGGACCATTATCACCTCGACCCGGTGAGCCACCATCTCACTCCGCTCTTCTTCAGCCACATGCACTTAGCAGGCCCTGCCGCTCACCTGCTCTGTGCCCTCTCCACCCTGTCCGTGCCTCGCGGATCACCCCACAAGGCAGGCTGTTGGCATCCCCAGGTGATGAGTTTCCTCACGGTAGACACACGGTGTGCCTGGAGGAAGGCGGTTGAGATCGCTCTGTCCCCAGCCGAGTGCTGTGATGCTATTCCTCTGTTGGGAGTGCTGTGATCCAGGCTGAAGGGTGCTACACAAACTTAGCTTGAAGTCCAGTGCAGTTGCACACCCTTGAGAGGCTGAGGCAGGAAGATGCAAGTTTGAGTCCTATGTGAGCGATTTAGGGAGACTTTGTCACAAAGTAAAACACAAAAAAGACGTAGGGATGTAGGTTATTGTGAAAGCCCTGGGTTCAATCTTTGGTAATAACAACAAAAAATGCTGCACATTTGGCTCAAGACCCCGGGCTGTGCAGTCTGCAGACCCAGTCTTGCTCAGGAAAATGGAGCTTGAGTCTGGAATTCAGTGATTCAACAAATACTTACGGAGCTGCTGCTTTATGCACAGGCTCCCAAATTGAGGGCCATGAACTGGTGCCTACCATGCAGGATGATGAGGACACTAGACCACTTTCAAATGGGAAAAAAGGAACACCGGGCCCTGTGTTTTTTAACATAACACTAGATTATTTGGCTCTGTTTTTAAAAGGTCATGTTATTGTATGCTTCCTGATATTTGATGTTTAAATTATTCTCTTTTAAAGATACTATGGTAGCCAGGCGTGGTGGCGCACACCTGTAATCTCAGCACTCGGGAGGCTGAGGCAGGAGAAGCACTGTGAGACCAGCCTGGGCTACATAGTGAGTTCAGGTGTCTTAACTACATAGGGAGAACCTGTCTCAAAAAATACCCGCCAAAAACAAAAAAAGAAAAAAAAAAAAAAAAAAA